TTCAACAGCCGCTCTATCTCTTCTTTGACTTTTAAAGTGACTTCTGGAGACATTCGTCTAGGCGGCTGTTTAAAAGGCTTGAAATCTGGTCTAATCGGTAATCTGTGCTCTACCAGATTTCTGTCCAGACCTTGCATTTCAGAATAGTCCCAAGCAAAACAGTTCTTGTACTCATGCAAAATATTGATAATTTTATCATGCAAACACGGCTCAAGGGAACAGCTAATAAAAGTAATTTTCGGATCTGCCTCAATACCCAGATTTACTTCCTCCAGGGGATCTTGTACTTCTGCCTTCAGATCATCAAGTTTTGCTAATGCCAGATCTAATTCCTCTAGTGTTATCTGATCCTTCAAGTCTTCCTCTTCACCTTCATAGACTACTTCAGATCTGTCTACACAGATCCGTTTTTCAGCAAGGTAAGCCGCTAATTTTCTCTTGATTTCTTCCACGGCCTCCTTTTTCTGGTGCTTAATTCGATCTTTCTTCATGGAATTTCTTCGATTTCAGGTTCCTCCCTCGGCCTAAAAGGAACAATTGCTGTAGGCCGAAGTAGTTCATTACACACCTCTTTCACAGTCTGTCTGTCTGTCCATTGCAGATCTGGTGCAGGCAGTAATTCCAGAAGGTCTGCCATAGCGGTCCATCCCAAAGAAACGGATAGTCCCAATATCTTCATCATAATAACGAGCTTCCACTGCATTGGTACTTGCCACGAACGGCTTGTCATCTGCTGTCACGACTTTAGTTTTGCCACCATTCCAGAATATCAATTTTTGATGCAGAGTTGAAGGAACACACCAGCTGGAATGTATCCAATCTCTCCCAAGCAATGCATTATAAGTGGCAATGGTGTCAACCACAAAGAATGCACACATGAGAGTTCTATTCCCAACGGTAAGTTCTACTGGCAGAATTCCCCTTGAGCGATTTACTCCACTAGTAAAGTCACTGATTGTCACTTCTGTCTCCATTAAATCACCCAAAGATTTGCCAATTTTGTGCAGAATACAAGTTGGCAAAACATTGACAGCTGCTTCGTTATCCACTAGAACTCGATTTATCGGCATACCATCTAGATGTGCATGAATATATAATGGCCTGATATGTCTGGCCATTCTCTCTTCTGGTTTTTCGAAAATGATTTTATCTGCTGAATCCAAACCAACATCTTCCTTAGCTGGGATCTCATGACTTCTTCTTCCTCAGTCAAATCTGTCTTGTGACAGACTGTAGATTCTGACTGCTCTCTTGCTTGAAAGACCAAAGGAAGAGTGATTACCATGCAAGATAGATTCACGAAAAACTCACCAAAACAGATTACATCTAATGAATTTTTCGCTTTATCTGACACGTCAAACTTCGCCTTCAAATCAGTTTCTTCATTGGATTCCACAGCCAGAACTCGAGGTGATGTTGGAATTCTGGGTGGTTCTTCCTTTTCTGGAGAATTCTGACCAGATGAACTCCCTTTTTCTTTACGGACCCACACTGATTTTCTTCTTGCTGGGAGCGACTGTGCCTGATCTGCCATGCCCCCCGAGTCTGTAATTTGCTGTCGGTGTCTTTCTGCAGCCCTTTTGCGTTGTAAACGCCTCCTTAAGGTCCTTGGATTCTAACCCTTAGGAAATTTTGGATGCACCACACGTTCCCACCGTTTGGTTGGAGATCTGGGTGGTGGTTTTACCATTCTGGGCTTTTCTGCGCGTCCAGATATCGCAGTTCCTTGATTTGCATTATTTTTCTGTTGAGTTGAGTTGTGCCCCCCGGGTTGTCTCCTTCAGTATGAACCTGATCTGACCTGATTTTTGCGAGTCTCGGCCTCCTCAATGACCCACCTCAGATCATTAGCTGCAAGTCTGCGCCTATAGTATGTCTAAGTTATGTCCCTGGCAATGCTCCTGAGATCTGCCGCGTTCACCCCAACAGACATGGTGGGGAATGGATCTGCGTCAACTCCCATAGTTTCTTTGGCCTTATCTGGAAAGCGCAGAATTCCCTTGTCGATTTTATCCTGTAAAACATTTCGAAAAATCACACAATCATTAGTGGAATGTTTCCAAGAATCGTGATATTTGCAATATTCTCTATTTCCAATTTCGCCAGCCATTGGGATTTTATGTCCCGGCGGCAATTTAATTAGACCACTCTTTTTAAGGTGGTCAAAAATTTCATTAGTTTTTGAAATGTCAAAGGTGTATTGTTTTCCAGCCTCTCCGACATACGTTTTACTGTTCAGTCGGTCTGCTGGGCCACTTTAACCAAATCTGGGCAAACAACTGGCTTGTCTGCCACCACTTCTGCCACGTTTAGATCAAAGTTGGCATCACCATAATACGTCCCATGAGATGCAGATTTCCTTTGTGTGTCCTCTCGCAATAAATTTTCATAACGAGCCACCTTGTAAGACAACTCGAAGAAATCACGAAACTCCATTCCCTCAAACTTCTTCCTCAATTCAATGTCCAAACCATTTTGTGCCAGCTTGATAAATTCCTGTTCTAGCAGGGCAACTCTGCGCTTAAGTCTGGCCTTCCGAAATCTGGCTAGAAAGGTCTCAGAAGTTTCTCCAGGTCGCTGCACCAGACGAGATAAATCTGCCATGGACACTTCTGGCTCACTACGGTAGAACTGGATGTGAAAAAGATCTTCCATCTGCCTCCAAGTATAAACAGAATTCTGTGACAGACTTAGATACCAGGTGAGAGCTGTACTAGTTAATGAGCTGGGAAAAAGTCTAAGTTGCAAATTATCATCACCGGAGGCCTCGCCACACTGAATTGTGAAGCGGCCTATGTGTTCAATAGTAGAATATCCACCATCTCCAGAAAATAGAGTGAATTCTGGAACCTTGAACCCCCTTGGAAAAGGATTCTCTTGGTCTATGAAATCTGGATATGGTTTTCTGTAAGTTGGTCTGACTAGAGGCCTCAGAATTGGACCATAAGCCTCCTGCACCATGTCGATGATATGATCACGATTGATGTACTGTCTTGGCAGATTTTGAAGATTTTGTTGCACAGGTGGCACATAAGGCTGAAAATGCTCCCTTGGTGGAGGTGCATTATGTTGTTGATGTCCTCCATTTGGTCGACGCGGAGGTGGCAGATATCTGGGATGCTAGTGATTACCCAGATCTGCCACAAGTGGTGCAGCCTCAACAGGATCTGGCTGCACTGGTCCGCCTGCTGCCTGCTGAATCTAGGGAGGTGGCTGTGGCAGATTAACTTGCCCCCCGAGTGTTGGAGCTGGAATATTCTGATTCTGCCTTTGAAGATCTGCTGCTTGTGGCTGAGGCTCAATTCTGACACGTCGAAATGCCTCCTGCATTCGTTCTGTTTCAGCTTGGAAAGCTCTCCAATTTTCTGCATTTTGCTCACGCCAGATTCTGTTACTTTCTTCATTGGATCGTCGCATGTCGGCTACACTTTGGGCCAAATTCTGAGCCAGATTCTGAAAAGACTCATCCAACTGCCTAGAAACCTCTTGGCTTCTCTGTCGAGCTTTCTCCTCAGATTCCATCAGTGTGTGCCTCATGATGCTAATCTGATCTGACACAACTTTCACAAGGGAATCACCAGATTGAGCAACATCATCTCCAGATTCACTACCCTTGTTGAAGGTAGGATTGACAAATGAGTGCTCCCTAAGTATTGGTGACAATGGTGGTGGAAGGATTGGCTCATTCTCTCCTTCTGAGTGTGCTGGACTGCCTTCACCAAGCCCAATCTGTAAAGTCTGGACAGCCTTCCCAAGGTTTCTTTTTGGTGGCATGATTGCACTTTTTCTTGGAAAAAAGAACAACGGATCTGAAAACTGTAAGTAAGACACGATGAGGTCCCACCGGGCGTGCCCAAAAAGGATTGTTTCCTCAAAAATCCTCTAGTGGCCTCGCACGTGTGAAATCTGGATGCAGGCGTGCCACTTACTTTGCTAAAAGTAAGAAAGGAGGACCTTCCCAACGACCCTCTCCTTCCTCACGGTCGACCTCTTTGTAGATGGCGGGAAGAACGTTGGCTTAAAATTGAAATTGCGCCTTCAGACAATTTGCAAGAGGGAGGGATACCTTCCTGCAGAATGGGTTACGAAATCTGCCTTGGACAACTCTAAGGACTTAAACACTACCGTGACTTAAAAATTAACAAATCCTAATTGAACTAAATAACCTACAATTTAAAGTAAATTTGCGAGAAAAAGTTGTACCCAAATTAAACTAAACAAGTTCGTTGTTGAATTAAAATGTAATGTACTGGCAGATCTAGAAATTAACACGCTGCAGAATTAAAGATTTCAAAAAAAGGATTGTTTCCTCAAAAATCCTCTAGTGGCCTCGCGCGTGTGAAATCTGGATGCGGGCGTGCCACTTACTTTGCTAAAAGTAAGAAAGGAGGACCTTCCCAACGACCCTCTCCTTCCTCACGGTCGACCTCTTTGCAGATGGCGGGAAGAACGTTGGATTAAAATTGAAATTGCGCCTTCAGACAATTTGCAAGAGGAAGGGATACCTTCCTGCAGAATGGGTTACGAAATCTGCCTTGGACAACTCCAAGGACTTAAACACTACCGTGACTTAAAAATTAACAAATCCTAATTGAACTAAATAACCTGCAATTTAAAGTAAATTTGCGAGAAAAAGTTGTACCCAAATTAAACTAAACAAGCTCGTTGTTGAATTAAAATGTAATGTACTGGCAAATATGGAAATTAACACGCTGCAAAATTAAAGATTTCCTCCTAATTAACATTAAAATTAACGTGAACAGTAATTAAACTACCATGCTTGAGATTGAAAAGAGGTATGAACACCACATAAGTAATCATTGAATAAAATGCTACTTATTATAAACATTAAATTAATTACAAATGAAAAGAAAACAATACCTTGCATAAACTTGAAGGATTGAAGTTCATTGCATGAAAGGAAATTGTTTAACTGAATATAGGAATTAATTTGTCTACTGGAATGATGAAAAACAACCTAATTCTAATGGAATCTGTGCTGAAATACGAAATCTGTGCTGAAAACCGAAATCTGGAAGCATGTGCAGAGAAAATTCAAGTATGAAAATTTGCTGATGTTTGAGTAGGGCTGGCCATGTCTGTTCCTTCTTCCGAAACCACCTTTTTGTTCTTCTTGTACCGGCAGTTACTCAATCATGGGTAGTTTGTTGGAGTAGTGGGACACCTCACCTTTTGACCTAGTCTAATCCCCTTTCAGATTTCGTCACCTGTACTTTATCAGATTAAATCCCCTTTTTAACTGTGATCCTCCCCTATTTTCCAGTTGCCATTATCTCTTCTGTTTCAAGAAGATAATTACTCCATAAAACATTATCTTTACCTCTCCTATCTTGCCAACACATGTGCTGATATGTCATGGGGCCCAAAATCCGAATCTGACATGGCTCAAACTCCTCCAGCCAATAAAAATTTTACACATGGCATTAATTTAAAATTTTGCAATTTATGGTGTAAACAAAATGAAAACAAAAATTAAACTTTCAATGGGAAGGAAAATGAGGAGAACCTTCAATTGAAACTTCAGAGAAATTGAGCTGAAGGATAATGAGAATGAAATCGGAAATGAGGATAATCGGAATGGAAATTGGAATAGGAATCCGAAATGAGCTTGTGGAGAAATTCTTGAAAGAGAAGAGAATGAAAATTGTTTTCTAGAATGTTTGGGAAAATGCTTTCTCGACCGTAATTTTCTAGTTCTTCTCTTTAACTAATTTCCTGCATTTACTAAATAAAACGCAAGGAGTTACCTGTGTTTTGTAAAACGCTACGACAACAAAGTGGGTAAAAATAAAAAAAAAAATATTAGTTGATTAGCATTTGGTACAAACGCAAAAATAAAAACGCAGGGGACAGGTGATTTTCCTGTAGTGGATCTTCCTTAAATCTTCTATATCTTCTCGTTAACCACTCGTTACATGTCAGCCCATGTGGATTACGATCTTCACACACCACATATACTAGGTCTGCTAATAATACATTTATATTAAATTCAAATGGGGTTTTTTATAATCTTATTAAAATATAAATTTAAATTCTAATAAAAATTATTATATATTATAATGTGGGTTTCCAAGTTTCTTCTAAGGTAAGTTGAAATTAATTAAGAAACTAAATCTTACTAAAACTCCACGTGATCTTCAAAATTTCTTGAACATGATTGAGCCGCTCTTCAATTAGGATTTCAAAATTGACTTGAATTATAAATTAGGAAACAAATTGAAGCGCATGGATTGCCAATTTTCTGCTGAGGTATCGACATATTAGCTTATAGTGTCGACACCACGATGTCTGAAATACAGTTCCAGAACTTTGACCCAGGGTTCCTAAATCATTTTGGCCAGTGTTGTATTTTCTCCTCTTGAGATGTCAGCATCCTAGTCAGAGGTGTAAATACCTTTCTTGTTCAAGGCAAATTCCTTCTTCGAGCAATTCAAGGCACATTCTCAACAAGGTATGAGCAGAGCTTCCCTATGAAATCCACCTACGTAGCCACTCAAGTTTTCCCTAGTTCTCTGTTTAATCATCATCGAGTACTTTGAATCTCTCTTAGGTGGCTTAGATTGAATAAAATGGGAGATGAATAGAGAACTTAACTGTTTAATGAGGTGATGAATCTATCAGGTACGTCAGCAAACCAGGTAGAAGTTACGTTACGTAGGGCAGTTGGGAACTGGTGGCACATGATTGCATCCCAGCATATACTCATTTGGTGGTTGCAAATGTACTCCACCGAATCAGTGGCATCATCGTATGTGCCCAGCTGTGAAGATATCTAATAAATCGGTAGAGGTGCTTTCATTATCTCATTGTAGAACTTCTGGCCCAGCACAACTTCCTCAACTGAAATATAGACACCACCGGTACAATAAGTTATGACAATTTCTAGCGTTGACTAACTTTTGTGCCATTGTTTTTTATGGATCTGTGATTAAGTTTCTTTGAAGGCCGTAATTAGGATTACGATTATGTGTAGGGAGGAGATTAAGATGATGTAAGTTTCATTTAAGAGGTTAGTGGAATTGTAAAACACAATGGATTAAGAGAATAAAGTGAACCATGGGGATGAAGCACATGATATTCAAAGTGATTCAATTGCGGATTTAAAGAAGAATGATTCTCTCCGTCGGTCACTTCTAGTGAAGAAGACACCACTTCGCATGATAGCGCCATTATTGGTGCCAATAGTTGCCCCATTGAGAGCCTGGATTATGAGTATGCTTGCAGTCCTCTTCTCCTTAAATAAATTGTTTGTCTATGCATTCATTAAATTGTAATTTGTCATTGTTGTAGATTAAAAGGCCTTATGTGGCATCTCGAGTAACGCTATATATACAATAATATAGCATAGGCTGCAGGCAACTGAAATCTCTTTTGCTAAGGTTACCTTCGCTGTTAGAGAACTTGCTTCGCTTTAACCATAACTGTGTAATTTCCAGTAAGTGTTTTGAGTTAAAATCCACCCTTCGCGATGACAACAAGATGGCCAGGTGCTAGGCTGGTGATAACAAGATGGCTGAGTAATTGTCTAGTATGTTTATCTCACATTTTGTGTATTAAAGGATTGTGAAAAATGAATTATTGCAGCAAGCAATACAAATTAAAGCACGATTCAAATTTAAAACACACTTCAGCTAATTGCTTCTCGTTTAATACAAGATAATTTCTATTTTAAAACACAACTAAAAATTAAAACACACTTCAACCAATCTATATTACTAAATACTACTTTTTTTAAAATAGGCATAGGATCACGAAATACTATCGTGCAGGTAGAACTACGTAACAAGAAACTCATCGTGTTATAGAATACATATTAAAATATAAATAATGAAGTGCCAAACCAACAGTAAAGCTGGCCTCATGTACCTCACTACTTGCCTTCTAAACCGAAATACTTTCGTTCAACATCAAACCCTTAAATGGTATTGTTTCCTCAAAAATCCTCTAGTGGTCTCGCACGTGTGAAATTTGGATGCGGGCGTGCCACTTACTTTACTGAAAGTAAGAAAGGAGGACTTTCTCAATGACCCTCTTCTTCCTCACGGTCGACCTCTTTGTAGATGGCAGGAAGAAAGTTGGATTAAAATAAAATCTGCGCCTTCAGACGATTTGCAAGAGGGAGGGATACCTTCCTGCAGAATGGGTTATAAAATCTGCCTTGGACAACTCCAAGGACTTAAACACTACTGTGACTTAAAATTAACAAATCCTAATTGAACTAAATAACCTACAATTTAAAGTAAATTTGCGAGAAAAAGCTGTACCCAAATCAAATTAAACATGCTTATAGAAAAATTAAAATGCTATACACTAGCAGATCTGGAAATTAAAATGCTGCAGAATTAAAGATTTTATCCTACTTAACACTAAAATTAACGTGAACAGTGATTAAATTACCATGCTTGAGGTTGAAAAGAGGTATGAACATCACATAAGTAATCATTGAATAAAATGCTACTTATCATAAACATTAAATTAATTACAAATGAAAAGAAAATAATACCTTGCATAAATTTGAAGGATTGAAGTTCATTGCATGAAAGGAAATTGTTTAACTAAATACAAGAATTAATTTGACTACTGGAATGATGAAAAACAACCTAATTCTAATGGAATCTGTGCTGAAATTTGAAATCTAGAAGCAGATTGCAGAGAAAATAAAAGTATGAAAATTTGCAGATGTTTGAGTAAGGCTGGCCGTGTGTTCTCCTCTCCAAAATCTCCTTTTTGTTCTCCTTGTGCCGGCAATAACTTCCACTTTCTGCAGTTACTCAATCATGGGTGGTTTTTTGAAGTAGTGGGACACCTCACCTTTTGACCTAATCTAATCTCCTTGCAGATTTCGCCACCTGTACTCTTATTGGATAAAACCCCATTTTTAACTGCAATCTTCTCTTATTTTCCAGCTGCCATTATCCCTTTCTGTTTCAAGAAGATAATTACTCCATAAAAAATTATCTTTACCCCTCCTATTTTGCCAACACACGTGCTGATCTGTCATGGGCCCAGAATCCGAATTTGACCTGGCTCAAACTCCTCCAACCAATAAAAAATATTTTACACGTGACATTAATTTAAAATTTTGTAATTTATGGTGTAAACAATACCCTAACACTTGATTTTATAAAGATAAATCTAAGTGTTATAATTAAATAAATTGTCTCCCACACCATAATTACCTATGCCACATGTCGAATTCCCTTTAAAAGTGATTTCACAAATATCTCGTAGAGCAATTTTCTAGATAAACCCCAGCCACTCCTTTTCAAAATTCATTTGATTTTCAAATCCAAAAAGGTAAAGAAAAGTCAAACTTACTTTTCCTTTTTGCATCATTGTCGGCTGCCTCTTTTCCTTCTCACCATCTATGGCCCCATCAACCTCTATTTTAAGTAAAAATTTTTAATTTTCAAAAACAAATCCCAAAAGCAAGGATTCTTTGAAAATTAAAAATAAATTTACTTTATCTTCTTCATCTTCCATGGGCCAACATCACCATCTCACTGCCGACCCAACCTTTCCATTTTTACCTTGCTTTACCGCCGGCTGCTGCTCCTCTTTTCTCTTTTATTCACCAAACAGCTTCCTCTACTTCTACCCATCTTTTGACCTTTAAGCTTCTTCCAGTCACTACCGGCTTCTTTCCCTTTTTTTTTTTTACTTTTCCAGATCCACCAAAATCAGCAACCCATTTCTTAAAACATCCCAGATTTACTGCCGGCTGCTCTCTCTTCCTTTGGTTGTCCAGATCTGCTACCATACTTAGTGGTCCCCCCGGAAACTCTTCTTGCCCCACAGGTAGTTGCCGGTTGATTTCCTTTTGCTCTTTATTTGCAAAAATCTGCCTTGCATATGTCCGGTGGCCCACCATCGAAAATCTTCCTTGTTTGTGTCTGTTAGCTGATTTCATTTCTCTTTTTGTGTTTTTTTTTTAATTTTATTTTTGTGTTCAAATTTGTCTTGCTCCACCTTCCCCTGTCAAAACTGCTTCTATGGCCGGCGCTCAAGAGGGGCAATCTATCTCCGCCGAACCTTCTCCTGCCAAAGCTAGTGTCAAATCTTCACACCCCAAAGGACTGCCAACTGCCGGATCTACCTCCATGGCCAGTTTTAAAGCCACTCGTTTCTTAAGATCACCTCCTCCATATTTGGTTAAACTCTTTCAAAACCAAAATCTTCAAGATGATGTGAATCGGGTACTCCAACAACAGAAACCATGCCATTCAACTCAACATTTCGTTCCTCATAAAAAATCCCAGATTTTGGGTCCATATTTTGTGTCTCATCCGTCGGCTTCTCTTACCTCCATTTACCCACAGCCAAAAGAACATCTTCTCCCTTTTCAAGTAAAGCCTGACTGGGGTAAATGGGTTGGATCTTTTGGAGCTTGGCCAGCTTGGCGGAAATCAGAATGGACTGACTGGATAAACCGTCTGGAACCTGCTTTTGGCCAAATTTGGAAGGATGCGGGTTTGTTTGAATTTATACAACTGACCAAGTGCAAATTCACCATGGACAAGCCGGTCTTGGGTTCGGCTTTGTTATTTTGGTCTGGTTCTTTCAATTGTTTTCATTTTCCCTGTGGAGCCACGTCTGTGAGCCTTTTTGATATCAGTTCGTTAACCGGATTGCCCTGCACTGGAGAAGAAATTTCAGCATTGTTGACCTTGCCTCCAGGTGTTGAGTACAATGCAGAGTTGAAGCCCTCTTATTCAGCTTTTGTGAGATCTGCCTATGATAAAAGTAAGCCTGTCAGTGCTGATGAGCATATTTCATTTCTGCTTACTTTAATCTGCAAATATATAGTCTGCTCTGCTGGTAAAGGTCCCACTAAAGAGTTTATTCCCTTAGCTGCTGCTTTAGCACACGATAGACAAATGGCTCTGGGTCCTTTTTTGCTTGCTCATTTATATAGGAGTTGCCAAGACATCACGACTCATCCCTTAGTCATTAGTGGTGGGCCGCTTTGGGTTTTGCAGTTGTGGCTGTATTCTTATTTTCCAGCACTCGCTCCTGTCTCATTTGTTGTTCCAGCCCGAGATCTGCTCACTTACGGCTTCATGTTCAAGAATGCCGTGGAGAACAAGAGAAGCTTTGAGGAGTGCCTCAAGTTTTTTGCTTCTCTTTTTGTTACAGACCTGATGCGGACTTTGCTGTGTTTCTAGGCAGATCTCACAGTCCTTCATGGTACAGGGCCGATGTCAAATCCCCAGATTTTCGAGCATTTTGGTCTGTTTGTGTGACCTCCCGGGATCTGTTTGTTGGCTGTAGTTTGAACACTCTCAACTTCAGATGTGGCGTGGAGCTCTATGCACCGAACCAGTTTTGCCGGCAGCTAGGGTACTGCCAAGACATACCATTCCCGCCACTATTCTCCTTCAACCACAGCTATCCTCTTCGGTTTATGATTGGGGATTCAAACATTTTGACCGCCAAGCTTGCTGACATCACAAACACTCTGCAGACAATGATCTTGCCAGACCCTCCATTCCGACCGAGCTGCACTTCTTCCTACAGAAGTTGGTGGCTTCCATTCACGGTTCCTTGGTGTTCTGGATAATGTTTCTGCTTTGGCTCTTCCACCACTCACCAAAAAATTTGAAGAAAAGCAAGTTGCAAAGGAGAGTGAAGACCTGGAATCTGCCATGGCCACCCAGATCAGCAAGCCAGATCTGCCAAAGAGAGCTCCTATAGCTCAAGTCAAGAGGAAGGTTGCTACTCCTGCAGACTTCACGGAAGAAAATACCCCCTCCAAGCAGCAAAAAATCGGAGGTAAATCCGCTTTGGCTTGCAACTTTGTGACATGTTTTCTGCTAACACCCCTTTTTTTTTTTTTTTTTTTAGGGATCAAGAGGTCAGCAATGAAACCATCTGCAGCCAAGAAACTTATCAAGTCTACCTCTCCCTCGAGGTCCACTTCTGCCACGGAAACTGAGACTCAGCCTGATAAAACAAAAAATGTTTCCCTCGGTCCTGCTGCCACAAAAGCTCCTGTTGAAGGCATATCTGCTGAGGGTGGTGAAAGCAATTCTGGCTCCTCTCATACAAAATCTGGCGATGGTTCTTCACCCGCCACAAAGGTTAGGGGTTCTAGATTCTCTTCACGCATAGCAAACAAAAGCTTTAGAACAGTTAGACCAAATGAACTCATCGATCTAAGCCCAGACAAAGAGAATACCCCTACACCCGTAGCCTCTCCTGTTAGGCAGATTCATGTTGATGATATTGAGGTTGTTTCACTGTTCTGAAATCTGCTTAGATCTTGAAATATGTCACCATAACTGCTAGTTGCTATTTTTGATCTTTTTGTCTTCAAATTTTGTAGAGTGTTGCTGTTGATGTATCCATGATTGATGATAATTTGGAGAATGAACTTCTTTCCCAACTGGACATGTTGATGGATCCTCCGGCTAAATATGGATCTGCCACAGATAGTAAAGGGAAGGCTGTTGCTGAAGAAGCGAATCTTGATATCAACCTCCCTACCCAGGAGCAGATTAGCTTTGCTATTATGACCTTGCAAGAGCTCCTTGAAGGTGATCCTTCCCATTTCTGCAAAGTGCCGGACCAGTCAGCCGCCTTTGAAGCGGCTCAGATCCTCAATCGAGCTCCGCAATTATCATCTATTCAACAAAAGTTCTAGGCAGACTTCACTATCATTTATACACATTTCAGCAGGAGATTCCGGGTGCTTGAGAGCAAAGTAGTGGCTGCAGAATCTGTGAGAAAATCTGTAGCGGATAGCACTGTCGTTGTCTTTAAGAAGAAAGAAGAGTTCTTGGCAGCAAAGGAGGCTCATATCACACAAGTTAAACATCTCCAAAGGCTTAAAGAAGAAATCGCTAACCTTGAAGCCAAGCTTTCAGAGTTAAGAAACCAAGTTCCTCTTGCGGAGCAGACTGAAAAGAGTTTGGCAGAACAAAGAAACAAGCTCCGCGTAGACATGGAAGTTGGTTTGAAATTTGCTGCCAAGATCAAAGATCAGCTACCTTCTTTCACAGCCTCTACAGATGAAGCCGCTGAAGAAATCAAGAACATGAGGGAAGAATGGAGTACTTGGCAAAACAACCTTTGTTGATTTTTTCTTTTGTGTATCTCCTTGTCTCTTTGTTGGTTGAAATTGCACATTGTCATGTTTGAACTTATTGTTTGCGGCCCATTGGCCATGCAAACCTCTTTTTCAATGTTGATCTCTTTCTTAGCTCATATTCTGGAAATCTGCTTGTTGTATTTTTTGTTCATACTCTATTACAGGTTGAAATCTATCATGGCCAAAATCTGGCCGCTGTGATTATTCACAGCCAGATTTGGCCTACTTGCAGAGTCGGCTCAGCACTTTTATTGAATGATAAAATGCCTAAACAATGAAATAAAATATTGTACAAATCTTACTTCAAATCTGTCTCAGGTAGAATCAATGGCATCCAGACCTCTAGCCTCCCATATCATAGGATAGTAAGGCTTAAGGTAGATTCCATTTATTTTTCGAGGATGTAACTCTCCATTTAATGATTCAAGCCAATATGCTCCTCCTCTAAGCACTTCATGTATACAAAATGGTCCTTCCCAATTTGGAGACCATTTCCCAAATCTAGGGTCTTTCTTTCCAGGTGGCAGAATTACTTTCCATACCAGATCTCCTACTGCCAGACTTATGGATTTCACCCGTTTGTTGTATGCTCGAGCCACTTTTAATTTATGCGTTTGCAGCCTATCTAAGGCCATCAATCGCATACCTTCAAGGTCTTCTAACTCTAGAATCATTGCTTCATTATATTCTCCAGAAGTGAGACCATGTTGAATTGCTATACGCAATGATCTAGCAGACAATTCCATGGGCAGAACAGCACATGTCCATAAGTTAAAGAGAATGGAGTTACCTTGGTAGAACTCCTTTGTGAAGTCCTGTAAGCCCAGATTGTGTCAGATAACAGCTCATGCCAACACCTTGGATTATCATCAACCATTTTTTCCAGCAGATTTATCACAATTCTGTTGGAAGCTTCAGCTTGACCATTGGCTTGAGCATAATGAGGGGTTGAAGTAAGTAACCTAAATCCCATTTCTTTTGCAAATGCCTCAACTTGTGCACCAACAAAAACTGTCCCCTGATCTGAAGTCACTGTTTCTGGCAAACCGAATCTGTGAATAATTTCTTCCTTAAGAAATTTAATAATATCGGTCTGATCAACCTTCTTCATTGGCTTTGCTTCCACCCACTTGGTAAAGTAATCGGTGGCAACAATAATAAAAGAATGCCCCCTAGTTGAAGGAGGATAAACTTTACCGATCAAATCTATGGCCCATCCTCGAAATGGCCATGGTTTGACGATTGGATGGAGTTCTGACGCTGGAACTCTCTACAGTGGTCCATGAATCTGGCAGGCTTTGCAACCTTTAGCATAGCTGATGCAATCTTTCAAGATCGATGGCCAAAAGAACCCATGTCTATGAATTAGCCATCTCATCTTAATTCCAGCTTGGTGTGCACCACAGATTCCATTATGCACATCTGACATAATTTGGCAATACTCATCTGGACCAAGACAACGCAATAGTAGTTCGTCATGTCCTTTTTTATAAAGAACACTTTCCAATAGAACATAATTCAAGGCCTGCATTTTTGTTCTTCTTGAGGCCTTAAAATTTGGATTTTTGAGGTATTCCATGATTGGATAACGCCAATCTGTCTGGGTTACATCTAGGGAACAAGCAGAAATTACCATACCACGCGTGTGAATAGATGGCAGAATTCGTTTTTCCACAACAACAATTATACTCATCACGCCTTCTGGGATTTTTAAGCCCGAGGCGATTTGTGCCATCTTATTTGCTTCTGTGTTCAGATCTCGAGTAACATGCCTCAATATTACATCATCAAATTCCTCCAAGAGCTGTACTGCCAAAGCAAAATGAGGTGCCAAAGACAAACTAGTGCACTTGTACTCACCTTCTAATTGCTTCAAAATTAATTATGAGTCACCAATTATTTCTACCATAGGTACCTTGAGCTCTACCAACACTTCCAACCCAATAATTAGCGCCTCATATTCAGCTTGGTTGTTGGTGCAATTGAAATCTAGCTGAAATGACATCTGGGTTTTCAAACCAACTGGAGAAATAATAATAATTCCTGCTCCAGACATGGAATCTATGCTAGATCCATCAAAAATAAGCTTCCAAGGAACTAGGCTTATGGAAAATAAATCAATACCTTTTTCTTCATCCGCTTCTACCTCTAGGCACGGATGATCTGCTAGGAAATCTGCCAAGGCTTGCCCCTTGACAGCTTTTTGAGGCATATACTTCAAGTTGAATTCTGACAAAGCCAGAACCCATTTCCCAATCCTGCCTCGCAATAGTGGTCGAGACAACATGTACTTTATCACATCAGTTTTCGAAATAACATAAACCTCGGAATAAAGCAAATAATGCCTCAATTTTATTGCAGCAAAAAACAAAGCAAGACATAATTTTTCGACCGAAAAATATTTCACTTCAGTCTGTGACAGACTTCGACTCAAATAATAAACAGCTTGTTCTTGCTTTTTACTATTTTCTTGAGCCAGCAGACAACCAACAGATTCATCTGCGGCAGATATGTACAAAATCAAAGGTTTGCCTCTTAAAGGAGGCATTAAGACCGGCGGCTTTGATAAATAATGCTTTATTTCCTCAAAGGCGGTCTGATGATGTCTCTCCCATTTGAAATCTGTTTCTGATTTCAGCTTCAGCAGTGGCGAAAAAACTCTGGTTTTTCCTGCCAGATTTGAGATAAAACGTCTCAGAAAATTCACTTGCCCAAGGAATCTTTGTAATTCCTTTTTACTTCTTGGCGGCTGTACTTCAATAACAGCATTTGCCTTGTTCTGATCCACTTCCAGACCTCGCTCATGCACCAGATATCCCAGAAAATTTCCAGCAGAAACACCAAATGCACATTTTAAAGGATTCATCTTCAGACTATGCTTTCTCATTCTTTCAAAAGCCAGCTTTAAATGCTCTAGATGTTCTTCATCTTCATTAGATTTCACAACCACATCATCAATATAAATTTCCATAAAACGACCAATCATGTCATGAAAGATGGCATTCATGGCTCTTTGATAAGTTGCACCCACATTTTTTAAACCAAATGGCATTACTACCCATTCATACGTACCAATAGCTCCTGGGCAGCGGAAAGCGGTCTTTGAAATGTCCTCTTCTGCTATAAAAATCTGGTTGTACCCACTGTGGCCATCCATGAATGACAGAATTCGGTGGCGTGCTGCACCATCCACCAATAAATCTACAATAGGCATAGGATATTCATCTTTTGGTGTTGCCAGATTCAGATTTCTGAAGTCCACACAAATTCTCAGCTTGCCATTCTTTTTAACCACAAGAACCACATTAGATAACCATTCCACATATCTAGAAGTTATGATGAAACCAACCTTCAACAGCCGCTCTATCTCTTCTTTAACTTTTAAAGTCACTTCGGGAGACATTCGTCTAGGCGACTATTTAAAAGGCTTGAAATCTGCTCTAATCGGTAATCTGTGCTCTACCAGATTTCTGTCCAGACCTAGCATTTCAGAATAGTCCCAAGCAAAACAGTCATTGTACTCACGCAAAATACTGATAATTTTATCATGCAAACACGGCTCAAGAGAACCGCTAATAAAAGTAATTTTCGGATCTGCCTCAGTACCCAGATTTACCTCCTCCAAGGGATCTTATACTTTTGCCTTCAGATCATCAAGTTTTGCTAATGCCAGATCTAATTCCTCCAGTGTTATCTGATCCTTCAAATCTTCCTCTTCACCTTCATAGACTACTTCAGATCTGTCTACACAGATCCGTTTTTCAGCAAGGTAGGCCGCTAATTTTCTCTTGATTTCTTCCACGGCCTCCTTTTTCTAGTGCTTAATTCGATCTTTCTTCATGGAATTTCTTCGATTTCAGGTTCCTCCCTCGGCCTAAAAGGAACAATTGCTGTAGGCCGAAGTAGTTCATTACACACCTCTTTCACAGTCTGTCTGTCTGTCCATTGCAGATCTGGTGCAGGCAGTAATTCCAGAAGGTCTGCCATAGCGGTCCATCCCAAAGAAACGGATAGTCCCAATATCTTCATCATAATAACGAGCTTCCACTGCATTGGTACTTGCCATGAACGGCTTGTCATCTGCTGTCACGACTTTAGTTCTGCCACCATTCCAGAATATCAATTTTTGATGCAGAGTTGAAGGAACACACCAGCTGAAATGTATCCAATCTCTCCCAAGCAATGCATTATAAGTGGCAATGGTGTCAACCACAAAGAATGCACACATGAGAGTTCTATTTCCAACGGTCAGTTCTACCGGCAGAATTTCCCTTGAGCGATTTACCCCACTAGTAGAGTCACTGATTGTCACTTCTGTCTCCATTAAATCACCCAAAGATTTACCAATTTTGTGCATAATACAAGTTGGCAAAACATTAACAATTGCTCCATTGTCAACCAGAACTCGATTTATCGGCATACCATCCAGATGTGCATGAATGTATAATGGCCTGATATGTCTGGCCATCCTCTCTTCTGGTTTTTCAAAAATGATTTTATCTGCTGAATCCATGCCACTATCTTCCTTAGCTGGGATCTCGATGACTTCTTCTTCCTCATTCAAATCTGTCTGGTGACAGACTACAGATTCTGACTGCTCTCTTGCTTGAAAGACTAAAGGGAGAGTGATCACCAAGCAAGATAGATTCACGGAAAACTCACCAAAATGAATTATATTTGATGAAATTTTCACTTCATCTGACATGTCAAATTTTGCCTTCAAACCGGTTTCTTCATTTGATTCCACAACCAGAACTAAAGGTGATGTTGGACTTCTAAGTGGTTCCTCCTTTTCTAGAGCATTCTGATCAGATGTGCTCCCTTTTTCTTTACGGACCCACACTGATTTTCTTCTTGCTGGGAGCGGCTGAGCTTGATCTGCCATGTCCCCCGAGTCTGTAATCTGCTGTCGGTGTCTTTCTGCTGCCCTTTTGCGTTGTAAACGCCTCCTCAAGGTCCTTGGATTCTGACCCTTAGGAAATTTTGGATGCACCACACGTTCCCACCGTTTGCTTGGAGATCTGAGTGGTGGCTTCACCATTCTGGGCTTTTCTGCGTTTCCAGATATCGCAGTTCCCTGATTTGCATTATCTTTCTGTTGAGTTGAGTTTTGCCCCCTGGGCTGTCTCCTTTGGTATAAGCCTGATCTAACCTGATTTCTGCCGGCCCTGGTCTCCTCGATGACCCACCTCAGATCATCAACTGTAAGTCTACGCCTATAGTATGTCTGAGTTCTGTCCCTGGCAATGCTCTTGAGATCTGCCGCATTCACCCCAACAGACATGGTAGGGAATGGATCTGCATCAACTCCCATAGTTTCTTTGGCCTTATCTGGAAAACGCAGAATTCCCTTGTCGATTTTATCATGTAAAACATTCCAAAAAATCACACAATCCTAACTTAAAATTAAGAATCACACCTACCTACACACTTTCTTCAAAAATCTTGAACTTGGTAGAATTCTTCAATATTCTCCCAGTCTGCTTAACCTACCTGCACCGTCTTTCTCCTTCTCTTTTAGTCCAGCTATAGGCAAAATATAAGAAAATAGCCAATTTAGTGATATGGTCTAAGAAGTCCCGGTCAAGTGGGTCTTAATGCCTCCCCACTTGGCCTACTTCTCATCCAACCACCTGTTATTTGTTTTAACAGGTTGTTGACAACTAAACTATATTAATTTCTCCTTAAGATAGGTACTAGGACTGCAGTTTATTAAATTAACATGCAATCCCCTAATTAACAAATATTATATATTTGTCCCTAATTTTAGATGAGATAAAGGACTAACTTAAACTTAATGCAATTAAGGGCTTATTCTCTTTAACTTATTCCAAATAAGGATCGGGATATCACATTCTTCCCTCAAAAGATTTGGTCGCCAAATTTGTTTTTACCAAAAAACAACTGAGGATACTGTTTTCTAATCTACTCTTCTACTTCTTAGGTAGCTTCTCCCTTTGTGTGGTGTTTTCAAAGAACTTTAACCATAAGAATAACTCTATTTCTTAACACACTCTCCTTTCTAAAATCTATACTGGTTCTTCAATATGACTTAAATCTTCCCCAAGCTATAAAGATTCATTCTTGATGATGTGTGAGGCATCTGGCTCATATTTTCTCAAAACTGAAATATGGAAAACATTGTGCAACTTGGACATCTTAGGTGGCAATGCAATCCTGTATGCTACCTCCCCAACCCTTTCTAGAATTTCAAAGGGCCCAATAAATCTCGGTTTCATTTCGCTTTCATGCCAAATTTGTTTATTCCTTTTGAAGGTGTGACCTTTCAAAACACATGTTCTCCCACTTTAAACTCCAGTGGTCTTCTTTTCTGGTCTGCATAAGCCTTCTACCTATCCTGAGCTGCTTTCAATTTCTGCTAGATCAATCTCACCTTTTCTGTTGTTTTCTGAACTATTTCAAATCCTCACATCTGTTCCAACATCTGCTTTTCACCTACCTCAGTCCAACAAACTAGGGTTCTACATTTTCTGCCATACAATACTTCAAATGGTGCCATTCCTATGCTAGAATGGTAACTGTTATTGTAGGCAAATTCAATTAATGGGAGATGTTCATCCCAACTACCTGAGAAGTCAAGTGCACAAGCTTTTAACATATCTTTAAGAGTCTAAATTGTTCTTTCTGATTGCCCATCTGTTTGTGGGTGAAATGTTGTACTCATTCTCAATTGTGTGCCCATTGCTCTCTGAAATGACCTCCAGAATCTTGTTGTAAATCTGGTGTCTCTATCTGAGATTTCACTCACTGGAATACCATGAAGCTTCACCACTTCTTTAACATAGAGCTTAGCTAAATCTAAATTATCAAGTGAATCATCCACTTTTGTTGGTAAAAAGTGTGCTGATTTGGTCAGCCTATCAACAACTACCCAAATTTAATCATGCTATCTTGTAGTTTTAGGCAGTCCTTAGACAAAGTCTATAGAGATTTGCTCCCATTTCCATTTGGGAATAGGAAGAGGCTATAACTCTCATGTTGGATTCTAATGTTCAACTTTCACTTGCTGACAAGTCAGGCATTTGGCTATAAATTTTGCAATATTTTTCTTCATACCATGCCACCAATATTCTTTTTTCAAGTTCTGGTACATTTTGGTGCCTCTAGGATGTATAGTAAATTTGGATTGATGGGCCTCTTTTAACAAATCATTTTTCGATTTTGCATCATTAGGAATACACAATCTATCTCCTAATCTGATCAACCCATCTGCAGCCATTCTAATTCCCATATTCTTATTCTTTTCTTCATCATTTAACCACCCTTGCAACTGTGCATCACTTTGCTGAGCTTCTTCAATTCTAACCAATAGCTCTGGTTGCACTCTCAAACTAGTGATAATTGATCTAGGTTGCTATTGCAGTATCTTCAAATTCATTTCACTAAAATCTTCAAGCAACTCCTATTCTGTCACTAACATTGCTACAAAGCTGTCTTGCTTTTTCTGCTGAGAGCATATGCTACAACATTACCCTTTCCTGGCTGATAAGCAATGCTGCAATTGTAATCGTTCAAATACCCCATCCACCTTCTCTGCCTCAAATTTAAATCTTTCTTGGAAAACAAATATTTTAAACTCTGGTGGTATGTAAAGATTTCAAATGCCTCACCATATAAATAATGTCTCCACAGTTTAAGTGCAAATATAATGGCAGCTAATTCCAAATCATGCACTGGGTAATTTTTCTCATGATTTTTAAGTTATCTAAATTCATAAGCAATAACCTTGCCCTCTTGCATTAACACACACCCTAACCCCTTTAGAGAAGCATATATGTTTATAGAAAATCTACCCTTCCTGTTTGGTAGGGCTAGAATAACGGCTGAAGTCATAAATCTTGGAAACTTTCTGCACACTTCTCATTTCATTCAAGTTTCTGGTTCTTCCTAGTTAGCTAAGTTAAAGGGCCAGCTATTTTCGAATAACCCTCTACAAATCTTATGTAATAACCAGCTAAACCAAAGAACTTCTCACTTCTGTGGCTGTAGTTGGTCTCTCCCATTTCACAATAGCTTCAACCTTGCTTGGATCAATTGAAATACCTTCACCAGAAATCACGTGCCCCAAAAAACTGACTTTATCCAACCAGAATTTACATTTGTCCAGCTTAGCATACAATTTTTGCTCCCTCAATATCTATAGCACAATGGTCAGATGTTCTTTGTGTGCTTCTTCATTTGGTAAGTAAATCAAAATATCATCAATAAAAACAATAACAAATCTGTCCAAGTACAGTTGAAAAATTCTGTGCATCAAACCTATAAAGGCAGCAGGGGCATTGGTTAACCCAAAAGGCATAACAAAAAATTCATAATGGCCATACCTAGTTCTAAAAGCTGTTTTCAACACATCTTCTAATTTAATTCTCAATTGGTGGTAGCCTGATCTCAAGTCTATTTTAGAGAACACCTTAGCTCCTTAAGTTGATTAAATAAGTCATCTACTCTGTGAAGTGGATACTTATTCTTAATTGTTACCTAATTGAGTTTTCTATAGTTGATACAAAGCCTCAATGACCCATCTTTCTTTTTCACAAAAAGGACTGGTGCTTCCCAAGGTGAGGTGCTTAATCAGATAAAATCCTTATCAAGCAGCTTTTGTAGTTGTTTCTTCAATTATATTAATTCGATGGGTGCCATTCTATAAGGTTATTGAGAAATAGGAGTAGTTTCGGGAACTAGATCTATTGTGAATTTTATCTCCCTTGGTGGAGGTAATCCTGGCAATTCTTTAGGAAATACATCAGTAAAATTCTCCACCACACTGATTCCCTCAACAGAAATTGACTTTTCTTTATTTTCAAACACATAAGCTAAGTATCCCTGACAACCCAATTGTAAAAATCTTTCTACTTGTATACTAAAAATTAACATAGGGTTGACATTATGTTTTTCACCTTGAAATCCATTCACAAGTTGATTTGGGACATGAAATGTGACTATTTTGTAAAAACAATCGACCATAGCAAAATGGCTTGTCAACCAATCCATCCCCAAAATAACATCAAATTCTTCTATCCTTAAAAAAACCAAATCTGTTGGCATGTTGGCATATTTTTATCACCCAACATAACTGGACAATTCTTATAGGTTGTGTTTGGGAACTTGAATTTGAATTTAATGAGTGTAATTAAAATACATGTATTTGAAATACATGTATTTAAAATACATGTATTTTAAAATACATTGTTTGGATTAAATTAAAAAAAATAAATTTCAAATACATATATTTTTAAATGCATTATTTGAATATTTTAAAATACTATGTATTTGAAATTGAATTTTTCTATTAAATTAAATCTTCTTCTAATTATTATTTAAATTTAATAAAATCAAAGTTAACAATTTTAATATTTCAAAACATTATTTCCCTTAACCAATTGTGTCACCCTTAACATAGTCATCCTCAATCTTATTCTTCCGACCTGTTCGGATAATTTCATCTATGCACCCTATCTTCCTCTTCAGACCTCTCCCTGGTGGGACCAAAGATGAGGCACCACAAGGGGGAGCAGTAACAATGCCTGCAAGTCTACTCTTACAAGAACCAATAGGTTGGCTAATCACATCTTCTTTGCACCTCTATTTTATCCTTGCATAGTCTTCTAGAGAGTAATGAGATCTAAGATTAGACGATCTCGATTCATGGGATGCTGCAAAATTGGACCACCAGATTAAGACACAATTGAACAGGAGGAGAGCCTATAATTATCCAAATTATGGACCACCAGCATCTAGAATCACGTTGAAAGTGTTTAATGTCAATATTTAGTGATATGTTCTTTGGTCTTTTCTCAATGCATGCAACCACCAAAGTTTCTCTGGTGAACTCTAGAAATAAAAATTCATTTTCTGTCTCAGGAAATCCAAGTGGGGATGGGTCCTTGTGGAGAGCTCAGATACATATCTTATCCAAAAAGCAATGGAACGTGGAGGTTTCCAAGGATTGGGGAGTTCCAATGCTACGACAAGGTATGTTTAGTAAATCAAAAAAATGAGAGCTAGAGACAACTCTTTACCCCTAGATCTTATTCTGATTTGCCCTCCTTCAATCCTAATACAGACATGAAAATACCCACTTCTCAAATCTTCATTCAAAACACACAATTCATCCAACCATACACATAAAATTGCAGAAAATTTCCAGAAAAGCTCACTGCATTTAACTCACTTCATTAAAACTCCATTACATCATATCATCCAGATATAGCATATATAAATGCAGAAAATTTATAGAAAATAACAACAGTTCAAAACCCCATTCTTCAAATCACCAAAACCAAAACTTGTTCAGAGATTCAGAAATTAATATGATCAAATTAACACTGGATATCTTTATGAACATCAAACGAAATCCATGATTACGACATCGCTGATTCTGACCCAAATTATAACAGATTCCATTGGTACTTCATAAAACAGCAAACGAAAACCCTGGCACACTAAAACCACTGACGAACAAAGCGATACTCCTCGATATATTAATAGAACAAAAATCGAAAGCCATAGATGCTTATTAAGCAGAACGAAGTACTTGAAATCAAAATCCGACAAACTGATGAGATTCAAAACTTGAAAAGGCATTGAAGAGAACCTTGGGCTTTTCGTTCTCCCTCCGAAGCAGAAACATGGACTCACCCTTGGTCGTCGATACTTGCTCAAGCGAAGGAGAATGAAGGAGAAGAAGAGAGACAGCATCGAAGATCAGTGTGTTGGGATTTGAGAGTGAGAGAGCTATGTTGATGAAGGCATTTTATAACGATTTTACAGGAGTGGTTCGAGTGGTCGACAACGACGAGAAAGTGAAAGAGCAACGACAAAGTCGAGATGGACAGACGAAGAAGGCCTCATCGCCATCGGTGAGAGGAGAGAGTGCAGAGGAAATTCAATTCAAAATTGAAATTCTTGGGTTTGAAAGTGAATTTGAAATACACTGTTTTTACTCTCTTAAATTACCTGGTTGAAATGCATGTATTTTACCGAAATTTAATTACACTTTATTTAGGTAAAAACAAACAATGATATTGAATTTGAAGTATTCAAATTCAAATACACTCCATCAAATTCATGTTCCCAAACAGAGCAATAAACAATTTGACAAAATTAAATTTTCCTAGATAGTGTGTTCACTACCAACATGTGTTGTAATCTATTAGACTTTTCATGCAAATATGGAACATATTTAGGTGCAACAAAGGAATTTGTAGATCCAGAATCTATTAAAATATATGTTAGTCCAAAAGAGATTGGTAATGTACCTCTGATAACATCGGGATTTTGTTGTGCCTGCTGTTCAGTAAGTGTGAAAACCCTTCCAGTCACATTTTATCTTTTATTTTTTGCAACCTCCTTGGCCTGTTGGTTGCTTGTCTTCAAAGCTAGACAATCCTTGATTAGGTGTCCAATTTTACCACACTTAAAGCAAGTGCCAATGGCCCAATAACACTCTCTGCCCCCATGATTTTTACCACACCGTTTAGAGCTCTCTGAAGTCTGCTTAAATCCTTCTGTTGCCTTTCTTTTTCCCTTCCATTCTATCTTCTTTTGAACCGGTGAAGTAATCACTGCCTTTCCCTTGCTTTTCTGATCACCCCTTTCTTGTTCTTGCTCATTCAAGTCTTATTCAACAACTTGTGCAGTAATTAGGACTTCATCAAAAGTTTTAAGTCTCAAAAGAACAACCTTGTTCCTTATAAAAACCTTTAAGCCCTTCTCAAATTTTCTGGCCCTCTTGGCTTCATCTTTAGTCACATGAGATGCAAACCAAGCTAAAGCACTAAATCTTGCTTGATATTCATCCACAGTCATTTCTCCTTGCTTAAGTTCATAAACTCTTGTTCTTTCCTTTCTAGAACAGCTTCTAAAAATCTCTGAAAGAAAGTTCAACAAATTTCTCTCAATTAACCTGCTCACCCCTCTTGGTCATCCCTTCCTGTACAGCAGTCCACCAGTCCACCAATCCCTTGCTTCACCCTCAAACTGATAAATGGCTAACTCCACCTTCTACCGATCAGTACACTTTAAAATTTTGAAAATCTTTTCTGACATTTTTGCCCAAATTTCAGCATTACTAGCATCTTCCGTGCCCTTGTAGAAAGGTGGGTGCAGATTTTGAAATTGTTTTACCAAGGGTAGTTGTTCATTACCCTCTCGTGTTCAAAGTCACATTGTTACTTTGCTGTACCTGATTCCCCATATTTTGACTTTGGCTGCCCTGATTTTGATTAACTTGATTTTGTAAAAATGCCATAAGCCAACTATTCATCTCCTGCATTTCTTTCTGTAGACTTTCCACCTTTTCCTCCAAGAACATGTTTGCTTCCGAAGTGGTAGTAGTTTCTATTATTATTTTTCTAGGTCTTTTTTGATACTGTGATGTGAGGAGTATTCAAATGTTAACTAGACATAATGCTTAAGACATACTAAACTCAATCACATGTAGCAAATCTGTATCTTAGTAAAACTTTGGCTCTGACATCAATTTGTAACATCTTCTTTAGAGAAACCATAGGTCCATCAAGTAAGCAGATGCATTGCACAGCTAAGTAAAGAAAAATATAGAAGAAATCCATAAAATCAAAATATTCAGTTTATATACTATTTATAGGCTTAATACAGTACAACATAAGTTTAAAATTATAGAGCCAAATGGAAGTTTTGGGCAGATACAGAATTTGCCTTACTAATATTGGAAGCACAGCTTACAATTAGCATAGGACCTCCACCCACAAAAATTTCTTAGGAACAACAGCTACTCTTCGCTGCTACTATCTGAAATGGTGGAAATAACACCATGAGCTCACAACCCAGTAAGCATAACTCTAAATATTAAGTTAAGTTGATAATTTAATCTTAGTATTTTATGCAGAAAAATTTCTTTAGTTCTTAACTATACCAATCCTGTAGAAAATTAAGGCATTTCAGCCTTAGATAATCACACAAACAAAGCACATCAGAATAAAAATGACACAATCTATGGAGTCCATTGAAATGTGCATGCACTCACATTAGGTGCTAGAACTAGTCATAGCAATTGTTTATTGCACAAAGATTCACTAGTTCACTGTTCTAACCCCCCAGCCTAGGCTGGGGTCCAAACCCTCAGTTCTAAGACAATTGCATAACAGCACCATATATAACACATAATCATACATAACAATTTTCAATGTTTACTTAATATAGTCTGCAGAGTTAATAGAAACAAGCTATAACGGAGTGCCCAAATTAAATACACAAGACATAGTCCAGAAAAGGTGATATATATAACATATTAATCTCACAACTTGAACCGTAAAGATTTCACAGTTCTAGCATAAAAGATTGCCAATTTAACTCACCACTATATTTATTTCTCTATATTGTTATATAATTTAAACTACAACAGCCTAACTTCTTATGCTTATTCTATTGTTTTACTTATTGTTTGGCAATCTTAACTTAAAATTAAGAATCACACTTATCTACACACTTTCTTCAAAAATCTTGAACTTGGTAGAATTCTTCAATATTCTCCTAGTTTGCTTAACCTATCTGCACCGTCCTTCTCCTTCTCTTTTAGTCCAGCTATAGGCAAAATATAAGAAAACAGCCAATTTAGTGATATGGTCCAAGAAGTCCCGGTCAAGTGGGTCTTAATGCTCCCCACTTGGCCTACTTCTCATCCAGCCACCTGTTATTTGTTTTAACAGGTTGTTAACAGTTGGACTATATTAATTTTTCCTTAAGATAGACACTAAGACTGCAGTTTATTAAATTAACATGCAATCCCCTAATTAACAAATATTATATATTTGTCCCTAATTCTAGATGAGATGAAGGACTCTAACTTAAACTTAATGCAATTAAGGGCTTATTCTCTTTAACTTATTCCAAATAAGGACTGGGATATCACACAATCATTGCAAATTGAGCTTAATGTAATTTCTTCTATATTCAATAGAGCCAGATAAGCTAATAATTCTCTAACATCAATTCTGCCAAACATGCTATGTAAAATAAATAATATGAAGTTAAGACTTTCTTTAGATGGTGTACTCACTACCAGCATATAATAAAAATTTTCAACCCTGGCATACAAATAGGAGGCTTATCTAAGCGATACAAATGATGCATAGTACCATTTTCAATCAATGCATAAACATTTTCAAATGGAGTGGGTAACTTACCTCTTACTTTAGCTGAATTCCCTTATGTGTTCTGCTTGTGGTTGCAACATTTTGTCTTGCATTTTTCTGGTTTCTTTTCAGTTCAATTTCTGATTTGAAGTTCTTTCTTTCCCATCTGACACAAGCCCACTCGTCCTGAACATCTGGTTTCTTAATTATTGTTTGACTACTTGCAGCTTTTCTCAATGGGAGGGGTTTAAGGGTTAGGTACAATTTTTGTCAGGTCTATGAGCCATCTGGTTTTGATAGATACAAGTTTGTCTTACCGTATCAAGCCCCAAAGCTTCACTGGATCCATCTATAGCCTGCCTAGCTTAAGCCTTTGAACTTCTCTTAAGTTAGCTACCTGAAATGAGTGAATAGTAGGGTGTAAGCTACATAGCTCATAGGTGAGTGTTAAGAACTCATTATAACTGAAAGTACTTAGTCAATACTTTGTTTAGTATCCATAACAACTCTGATAATAGCATATTCTTGAGCAAATTTGTCATGGCTCTGTTCTAGCATATTACTTAGTCAAGATAGCATGATAATTTTACTATACATGCAAAACTAATTTAATCAAAACTAATCCATGCACAAATCATTTCAAAAATATATTTTTTACTCAACCTTTAACAGTGCATGCTCAAAGAGACATACTAACGATTACAATGTGTCTATGGACTTCAAATATCAAATATATATGTGGTGCACTTCACTTTAAGCCAAGACCAACTATAGCTTTTCTATTGTGCAAAGGTCCAAATTTTCAGAGGATGCTCATAATTTAGAGCTCGTTCATCACCCAGCTGATTGCATAGGTTTCAATTGTCCATAGACTTTCAAAAACAGAACACAAATCGTATTTCATTCAATAACCACCTGTTCAAACAGTTTATAACATAGTTTTGATCACCAAATATTTTCAAACTTCATATAAAAATAACAAGGATTTGCTTATATGCAGTACAAAAACGAACCTTCCTAACTGTGTAGTTTAGGTGTGCTTCAAATCCAATAATTTAGGTTTTACAGATATCAAACTTCAAACACAAAAACATATTTCACTTACATGCATCTACCATAGCTTTGCTATCCTGCACAAGCTAGGAATGTCCAACAGCAATTTAATTACATAGCTTATAAGCTTTAGAGCATTTCAAACTAGTCAATCTTAACATTTCATGTATAAGCTTAGCTAATCAATTTCAATATGTATCTTCTAACTTCTTAATCTTTCTTCACATGCACGCAGGTAAATGTGATAAACCGGATTCTACATTCTAGTTCATCATTCATTCCTTAACTTTATTTTTACATGTCAAAAACCAGGTCAGATCATCTAATGGTTTCTACTTGTTTTTAGCTCTAAAATTTACTAGTTGCTTCCAAATCATATAATAGAACTTAGCAAACACCTACCTCATATGAAAGCCACCGACTTATCAGAAAATCAAGTTTCTTTGTCGTATTGCCCTCCTAGTTTGAAGAGCTTCTCATGGTTGGGTGTATAATAGTAATCAGTGATACTCACTTGTAATGGATTATTGCCCATACTCCTGAAATGTTTTTTTACAGTTGCAATCCACACCTAATGGCGGCTTCATAACTTCCAAAAATACTTGCTTTGGGTTCCTTGTGAGCCACACAAACCCTTAGCGTCCGTTTGAATAAAAATTAGTAAAAATTAGTAAATGATGGAAAGGGAAGAGAAGTGAAGGGGAAGGGAAATATTGATGTTAGTTTTATATAGATAAACGGAAGTGAAAAAGAGCAAAGAATAATAGCTTTTTTTAATTAAATAATTTTAAAAAATAAAATAAAATTTTAAAATTTTAAAATTTTTTTAATTAAATAAAAAGTTGAAATAAAATGTTGTCAAGTCTTTGGACACCATACTCTTAAAAAAGAAATAAAAGATAAATAAACACTTTGTGATTGAATAATTAATTAAAGTGAATGTATAATAATAGGATTAAAGTAGGGAAAAAATATTTGTTTATCTTAAAAAATAAAAAAATGACAATTAATTTAAAACAAATTTAAAGTTAAAAAAGGAAAGCTGTTTTAAGATAAAGGGAGTAATTTTTTTTTTTTGTAATTGTAGTTCTTGATAAGTAGTTTCATTTAATAAAAAATTCAATTAAATCATAATAATGTAAAAAAAGTCTAAAAAGGTGTAAAAAATAAAAAAGAGCGCACTTAAAAATGTGGGTTAGAAATTTGATTGTTTTTAGACCGGTAGAATGTAGGATCTATATCCAACTTCGAGCATCTTTGAATCTGCCACTCACAATAATGGAAATATTAAATACTCTTACACTAATATTAGTATTTGATTATCTTTATCAATATACATATGACTATCCTATTGATATCCAAATGCAAGCTTATTTTGATTTTCCTTTTTGAAAGTGGTAGCATAATTCTTGTTAAGATCATGCTTGTAACATTCGTAAAGCCTTCTCTAATGCTTTTCTTCTTCTTCATTTTTTTTTTTTTCTATAATGTTTTGTTGCTAAGAAAATGGAGAAATCTACTTTCCGTTACAAATTATACAATCCTACCGGAAGACAAAAACCCTTTTCCAAATGTTCCTATGGGATATATTGTAAAGCGGCTCAAAGATTGAAGGGAGAGCATGAACAGAATGAACAAGAAAAGAATGAACAAGAAGAGAAAGAGTATGAAGAAAATGAACAAGAAGAGAATGAACCAGAATATTCTGAATGTGTAGTCATGGATTGTGGAAAAGATATTTGTCATGTACAATCACAGATCGAGTTATCCAGTAAAATGGGTAATGAATATGCCTTGGAAGTTATACACATGGACAACACTAAGACGTCAGAGGTGAAAGTGATTTATCCGTACTTTGAGAACACTCTGCCTAAATGGCTTAAGGAATTGGATCTTCCAAAGAAGACTGATGAGTATGACAAATGGATGCAGGATGAAGTATTTCCAAAGATTAGGTACATATATCTTTATTTTATTGCCACTGTTTTTCTTTTTTCTTTTTTTTCTTACTTATTTTGTATGTACAGGAAACTTTGGCAAATGCTACTTGAAATGAAGGATAAGAAGATAACTATTAATAAGCCATATTGCATTCCTTTAATTAATGGAGTGCCCAAGCTGTTATACATTCATGAAGAAGATGACGGTAAGTTGTTTCTACTCTCTCTTTTTTTTTTCTTTTTTTTCTTTTTTTGATTATTAGTACTACTATTTTTAAAAAAATTTTAAACAGAAAAGAATAAAGGGGACACGCCAGATGACGGATCTAGTTCATCTAATCAAGGACAAAGTGAACAGGAACTTCATTTAATCAAGGACAAAATAATGTCAAAGATAAATACAAAAACAATTATGACTTGGATTATCCAATAGAGGTACTTGATATGGTAATTACAAAACTGACGTTAGATGGATCTTATAAACTGCCTAAATATATTGAAGAAGCACAGAATTTCTGGAAGTCCAATCAGAACTCTGGGTAAGTGAAATTTAATTTTTTTTTATTTTTTTTTTAACTGAGATTGTATGTTTTATTATTTAAATAATTACTATTAATCTCTTTTTCAGACTTCTCCAACATTATCCTGTACTCGGTATACATCCTGTTCTTTATAATTCTGATGAAAAGTCAAGGTTTTTGCAATTGTTCTACGATATCACATTCGAGTCTAAATTAAGCAGATGGTTGGATGAAGAAATGGATTGGAATGATTTCGAAAGCCGTATGATGTTCGCAAAAAATAAAGTTGTTTATGGAGAAACCCTTCACCACTGTCATAACCCAATTTTTACTGAGAGGCTAAATGCTAAAATCAGAAGTCAATGGACTGTTTTTGTAAAGTTGGAAACTTGAAGGGGTTAAGATCTCTCTCTACCGCACCCTTTCTCTCATCAACTCCAGCATGATGCCAAGAAGATTTTCTTTGAAGATAAGCTCAACCAATTGAAGGATTTGGATAAAGATGGACAAACCATAAGTCATCAACTCCAAGGAATCCGAAATTGATTCAAGGTGGAAGTCCTAATGCATAAAAGGTATGAATCTAGACTAGAAAAAGGGTAGATATGGGAAAAACTAAGAAATCCAATTCCAAATAGGATTGAGTTGTTATCTTAGGATTGGGATTTAAGTATTAGAAGCACATTAGGATTGGGTTTTTCCTTTGGTCTATAAAAAGGGGGCTCTTCGGCTTCTAGGGAAAAGGAGGAGAAAATTGGGAAAAAGAGGGATTCGAAAATTGAGAGAAGAAGGGCAAATCTGAGGCTTGTAACCAGGACTTCAAGAAAATAAAGCTTGAGTTTCCCTATTTTCTTCAGGTGTGCATTATTATTATTTTTTTTTGGTGTTTTCTGTCATGTTTTATCCTTCTTCTTCTTTTCTTTGTTATCAGTAAATTGCTTGTTTTTTTGTTTCCTTCACGGTTTGCCTGCGATAAGTGTTTATGGGTTGGGTCCTGGCTGCAAATCTGATTTCATTTGCTTCCACCCTCACATTGGTTTGTTTCCTGTGATCC